CACTCTTTTTTTTTTTGGGGGGGGGGTGTTATTTCAAAAAAAGAAAATTTATTACATCAACCTTCATTTTTGTGCCATATGTTTTCCCTGTGAAATTCCCACCACCAATGCACATTCCCCGCAAGCCCCCCACTCCCGAGCACCATCATCACCTCCCTGTGCTCCTCCCACCCCTGGCCCAGTCTGGCCCTTCTCCTCCTTCTCCCCTACACAAGGTCTCTGATCTACAGTGGCCTCATGATGTTGGTTTTCACTATGTTACAGTTACTTTATTTTTTCCTCTACATTCCTCCTATAAAACCATTCGATATTTTTCTTCTTTCTGGCTTATTAAAATAGTAATCAGGGCCCTCCCCGTTGGCACAATGGGTTAGGACTCAGCACTGCAAGCTGGCCACAGCTATTTAGTGTAAGTCCAAGCCCCAGCCCCGGAGGTGACCCACATGGCGCGGCAGACCTCTCCTGACCCGCCCGCTGCTCCCCTCAGCAGTGTTCTTCGTCCATCTGCCTGTTCTGCTCCCCACTCTGTCTCTGGTGAAGCCTCTCACCGCCCCTGCACCTCTATCTTGTACCCCAGTTTTGTATGCACAAATAAATAAATACAGTAATCAAAGCCCTCCCCCAAAACAAAAGCCCAGGGCCAGGAGGATTCATAAATGAATTCTACCAAACCTTCTGAAGCAAGCTAGTGCCTATCCACGAACTTGAGAAGGGATGCGTTTTCTGAAGCCAACATCATCCTAGTACCAAAATCAGTGTTCTGCCACACGCTTAAGAAATCAGACCAATATCTCTGGGACAGTTCCCCAGCACCTGGGGTCCCCTCCCATGGACACCTGCCAAGTCTCCCTCTAGCTACCTGAAGATTTCTCAGTGGGAGAAGGTGCCAGAGCCCACCTGCTTACCTGAGGCTATTGTCAGGCCCCACTGTCCACTGTCCAACCCACAGGCTGCCATTACGTCCCAGTTGTTTGGGGGGGAAGAATTTCTTTCTTTTCCCCCCTGCCTTATTGAGATGCAATTGGCATAGAATAGAACACAAACTTAAGGTAGACCATACAATGACCTGACATCATGAAGACTGAAATGTTCACCACACTGAGTTTAGTTAATACATTTATCAGCTCACACCGTTACCTTTTTTCTACGTGTTGAGAATCTGTAAGGTCGACACTCAGCTCCTCTCCCAGACGGAGACAGAGTTGGCCGCCGCCGGCTCCGATTCTATCTGGGACTTACTCACCTTAGGACTGAACTCCATACCTTTTGACCATCTTCGCCCACTTCCTTCATCCTCTGCTCCCCCCCCCCCACCAACGTTCAGTTCTTGACTACTGCCCAGAAAAGGGGGCGTTCCTACTCTTTGGTCTTCTAACGAGGCCCAGGTATACAGCTGTGCCCCACAAAAGCTGGTACCCAGGACAAGGGACCCGGCCTTGGATTTCTTTTACCACCAGAGGGACCCCTGTCACAGGAGCACTGAATGAACATTGCTGAATCGCCCTCAGTGAGCATATTTATCACTCCACATCAGAAACAAATAGAAACGGTCATCTGCTTCTGCAGCCTCTGCAGCTAATTGGCCCCTGAGACTCGGCCGCCCTCCCCAGGCTCCAGCCTTCCTTCTTTGCGCTGCTTGCAGGCCTTCCCCATTTTCCCTCTGGATGTTGGCAGTAGTCACCTAGGGTCTCACCTACCTCCTGCCCTTTCTTCATCCAGTCCAGCCACCTTCCATCCTGAAGTCAGGAGTCTCTTCAGAACCTGTAGAGACCGCTTACCACTTCTCTTATTTCCCCTTGAGCAGAAATGCCTTCTCCTCCCAGTTCTTACCCCGACTCTTCAAATTTGGTCAACATAAAGACTGCCTGGTGCTTCTGTGGTAGTGCAAGGGGTTAAGTCTGAACACTGTGAAGCTGTCCGCACTGCAGCATGAGTTTGAGCCCCAGGCCAGGGAGGTGACCCACATGGCGCAGCAGATCCCTCTTGTCTCAGCCTCTGCTCCCCTCAGCAGCCAGTTCTGTTCCCCGGTGAATGCTCTCACCAACCCACTCCTCTGGCCTGTATCCCAGTTCTTTATGCATAAATAAAGTAAACCTTAAAAAAAAAAAAAAAAAAGACTGCCTGGCCGGCCTACCATTTCCTAAGTCATCCTGGAACTCTATTGTGATCTTGAATCAATTATTTTGCAGCTATGATTTTCAGCTTCATCACATGATAGGATGAGAGAACCCAGGTAAATTTCTAGCAAAATTGTATGATCACATTTACATCTCTGGGGGACAAATGCACAAGGACTTGTTATTGGAAAGTTTCTTGCTTCATCTTCTACATTTTGGTAAATA